CCGGTAGTAAAATAAAGTTTTATATTTGTGAAACGCTTACAAAATTAGGACTTCCAAAACCTTTCATAAATTGGTTGAAAACCTTTAAATTCTATGATTTTCATTGTAGCAGTAGAAATTTGTCCTGCTGAATCCAACAAGATTCTGGCATCAAGGGTTTTAAGATTAAACTTGATCCTAAAACTCATAGTTCGAGGATCTCACAATAAGCTAATTAAATTACAATTTTTCTAAAATGTAAACAGAAAGTCAGTTTTACTCTCAATACAATTGAAATATTTGGAACACTATTAGACTTAAATAATGAGTTCTTTGGTCACTCATCTTGAGATACAATAACGCACCACAAGCACCGGGATTTTGACAGTCACTCATCTTGAGATACAATTATGCACCACAAGCACCGATATCTTGACAGTCACTCATCTTGAGATACAATAATGCACCACAAGTACCAAGATCTTGACAGTCACTCATCTTGAGATACAATAATGCACCACAAGGACCGAGATCTTGACAGTCACTCATCTTGAGAAACAATAATGCACCACAAGCACCAATATCTTGACTGTCACTCATCTAGAGATACAATAATGCACCACAAGCACCGAGATCTTGACTATCACTCATCTTGAGATACAATGATCGATGCACCACAAGCATCGAAATCTTGACAGTCACTCATATTCAGATACAATACTGCACCACAAGTTCCGAGATCTTGACAGTCACTCATCTTGAGATACAATAATGCACCACAAGCACCAAGATCTTGACAGGCACTCATCTTGAGATACAATAATGCACCACAAGCACCGAGATCTTGACTGTCACTCATCTTGATATACAATAATGCACCCCAAGCACCGAGATATTGACAGTCACTCATTTTGTTATTATAAAACACACATAAAACCACGCATCCCATATTGCCTGATAGGAGCCTACCTTTTTTTAGTGTTTCGGCAGTCAAAGCTTTTGACGGTCATCTTAAGATGCACTACTTTAATATAATCAAAAATAAATATTATTCATGTAAATATTGAAATTTTTATATATATATAAATTCTTCTGCAATAGATATTTTGACAGATCTGCCATCATCAGGGTTCCATCTTGTTAATTACTAAATTAAACGAGACTTACTTTGGTTAAAGTTGAAGTTTAATTTGAATTCTATGTAGTCATAGAATCACTGAAGTGATCAGATGAGAAGCACTGCGCAACCGCAACCTCAGTCTTCAAAGATACAATTTTTTTTATGATGAAAGCCAAGTGGTACTCTACCAAAAGCATAAGCCTTAAACTACACAGCTGTAGGGAGGGTGGCGGCATCTGATCACTTCTGTGTTTCTATGACTACATAGAATTCAAATTAAACTTCAACTTTAACCAAGGTAAGTCTCATTTAATTTAGTAATTTTATTACGTCATATCACTTCCGCAATCAGATGAAATTTTAAAGCACACTCAAAATATTTTCAATAGTAACTTTTATATATATAAATGTAAACCAATCACTTATTCAACACATTTACATCAAAACTATTTGAATTGATAATTCTTTTGTTATAAAAGGATGCAAAAGTATTCACATTTGTCCAACCCGCTTTACTCATTATATCAGCTAAAGAAACATTGTACAGTTTAGCTTTTGACGTAGCTGCAGATCTCACTGAATGAGCACTAAATTGTCGAGTGTCTATACCCGATTTTTGCAAAACTACTTTAATCCAACGAGAAATAGTGCTGCAAGTCACTGCTTTATGCGGCTTAATATAACTAATAAGTAACTGATGTGTGTTAACACGCAAAAGTTCAGTACGTTTTAAATATTCCTTTAAAACAGAATATACACACAACCTCCTGTCTGGAGGAAAAGCTCTCAGTTTGACATCTGGATTCTTATATCCTGGTCTAGACTGTTTTAATAAAACATCGACCTGTTAGTCAAATGCGTTTTGTCAAAATGTACTTTTTGGTCTTTTGGAAAATGTTGTTTGTGCTGTATTTAGACCCCTCTAACAAGAAATTTGTTTTGCATGCACACGTATAAAAATTGCGGTTTTTATCCAACGCAATCATAGGTTTGAACGTTGTTTTCAATTTAGACTTGTTTATATTTTTTCGTTTGGGCTTGTATTATATTTACCTTCGGGTTTATATGATCCGTTCATCCTATTTTGACTCCTCAAAATTCAAGAATCTATCCTAAATTGAGGTAAATTGTATGGCTTTCCAAATACCGTTTCGATTCCTAACATCACTGAAGAGGCATTAATTGTCGAAATCCGGATATGGTGTACAAAAACCTTTGCACCTTTTGTTTGCGGTATACCATCTTTTCCGCAAGTTTTTTGTTTGATGTTTAGTATTAAATTTATAATTAAGATCCATTTATTACATCGGTGATCCGTTTATTTGGCAATCGCCAATGGCAGTCAGCAGGGTTTAAGAACATTTGTTGTTCGACCTGTTAGTCAAATGCGTTTTGTTAAAATATACTTTATCACTTTTTTGGTCTTTTGGAAAATGTTGTTTGTGCTGTATTTAGACCCCTCTAACAAGAAATTTGTTTTGCATGCACGCGTATAAAAATTGCGGTTTTTATAAACGCCTTAAAAGTGTACAAAACAACACCAATATTAAAAAAAAGGAAACATTAAATGTAAGTATCTATGAATATTTCGGATAACAGATATCCTTCATCAGTATGATTATGATGTAAGATGAATCATATCAATCTATTCTGATTTAATTTAACTATAACAATCATTAAATTTATACAATTAAAACAGAACAACGCTTGTACAATTCTAAAATTTAAAAAATGACGTAGGTTAGGTATTTACAACAGAGACTGCATAGATTTGCTTCTAACAAAAATAGTAATGTGCGATATGAACTGGTACATTTCTAAAATTTCACAGGTGACGAAAGTTGAGTTATTAGAACAAAGACTGCGATAGAAATACATTCCCAATGAATAGCACTGACCGATTTGAGCTGGTATAATACTTAAATTTCAAATTTGACGAAGGTAATGTAATTACAACAGAGGCTGCGTATTTACGCATCCCAAATAAATAGCAGTTTGATAATTTTTAAACATTTTAATTTTGTCAAAGGTTAAGTAATTCACCGTGGCTGCGTATTTATACATCCCAAATGAATAGCACCCTGCGATTTAAACTGGTATAATTCTAGAATTTCAGAGTTGACAAGGGTTAAGGAATAGCAATAGAGACTTCGTAGTAATATGTAATATAACCCAAATGAAAATCACTGCGCGAATTAGAACTACACCTTTTCATTGATCCCATTTGGTGCCAAAGTTTTTAATTTTCTTATCCAAAATCTTTCCCGAGTGAGTCTATCCTCCCTAGACACAGCAGTGTTGTGGTCTATGATTGTAATGGTCAGTCGATTGAGATCTGCCTTAGTGTGGCCAGGGGATCTCAAATGTCGACTGAGAGGAAGGTCTGGCTTGCATTCATAGTCGCTACGATGGCCGTTCATACGTTTGCAAAATGGCTGTTCTGACTCGCCAACATACTGTTTTCCACATTTACACTGTAGAAGATACACAGCATATGGTGTATTCCGTACCAGTGGAGTGACACAATTTATTTATTGTGTACAGGTATCGTTACTCGTAACGACCAGCGCCCTCGTAAGAAAGATCGTTGACTAATATCTAGACGTTATATATATATATATACATCGACCACCGAAAGCTATATTTTTATGTAGCCTAGGTGGTCGAGTGGTCTAGGGCGCTGGACACGGTGCAGGCGGTGTTGCCACGATGTCACAGACGCAAGGGTTCGAACCCCGCTGAGGGAAGAACAAAAATTTGTTAACGCAATTTTGAAGATCTAACATTGTTGGGCTAAATTTGAGACGAATTATATATATATGGTGTTAGCCCTGTATAACCATGTGTTATCCGATGGAGAATGTCTGTCATAAAGTTGTCACATGTTTAGACGTGTATATATATAGATTATAACATGGCATTTTTCATATCAGACCCCTTATCAGCCCTAGGTCATGATATCAGCCCGACAGCCGACAGGCTAGAGGGATGATTTTGACCATGGGCTGATAAGGGGTCTGATATGAAAAATGACATGTTATGTTCTTTTTATCATATACTTCAGCGGAAGCCATACAGACAAGAAAAACTATTTTTAAACATTATAAAATTCATTTATTGTATTATTTGTTTTGCATTTTTTAATTATATATTTTCCTGTTTCCTAATATTCATTCTTTTATTCTACTTAGTTATGTTTTTCACTAAAATATACCACTGAGGTTTATTTTCCGGAATTTGCAGAATGACGTCGAAATGCTTTGCGATAACGTTAAAGAAAGGCATGCGATAATAACCGGAAGCAGTTGATATAAACCGGAAGCAGTTGATATATACCGGAGGTAGTTGATAACGAAAGTCATATCACACGGCTTAGACAATTCTTCAAATTTAATGAATAAATATATGTACAAATTAGTTTTATCAAGAGGTACAATTATACCATTATTTTCTACAAGTATATGATAAATATATATATATGTACGTCTAAACAAGTGAAAACTCTACGAAAGATCCATCCATTGGATCACCAGTGAAGGTGATACACGGCTGAAAACACATTTTATATTCTAAATATCAGCACAACAATGTTAAATCTGCAAATTTGCAGAAGCATATATATATAGTGTGAAAAGACGGTTGGTAATGTTGACGTTAGAAACAACTTATTATTCAAATTAAAGATGCCGCTAAATGATATTACAAATTCGTATTGCTAGATCATGTAGATATTGTTATTTTGTGGGTTTTCTTTCTTTCTTAAAAACCTAAATGTATGGTGTTTTGATGATAAATTGTGTTGTCTGAAAAGTAAAATAATAGTCTACATAAGATATTAAACTAGAATTTCTATTTAAATAGTAATATTTATATTGATAAAATGAACTTCTTACATTGAAAGGTTCAGCTTCTGATTGCGAGAAAGAAGATCTAATTCAGGAATTGGACGTTATGAGAAAGATTCCTAAGCATGAAAATATTGTTTTATACTTAGGATGTTGTACAAAACAAGGTATTTATTGTAGTAAGGAAAGAACAATTTTACAAGTCCTTATTTAAATGGCCACCAAAGTACGTTGAACTTTACGGTTGTTAGGTTTAGGGTATTGGACTCAACAACAAATAATCAACTTGCTTAGTTAGAAAAGTTTTAAAAGTACATTACTATAAGAGAGAGAGGCGAAAGATATCAAACTCATAAGTCAAACATAAACTGACAACGCCATGGCAAAGAACGAAAAAGACCAAAAGACAAACAACAGTATACAAAACACGACATAGAAAACTAAAGACTGAGCAGCACGAACCCCACCTTTTACATGAAAATGATTCATCAAACTTCATTGATTTCCTTGTTCTGTGTTTTAACCTTACGCTTTTCCAATTTATACTCATATTTGTCTCCATTTAATGAGTGGACTACATAGGAACATTCTTAGCACATTGCTAATTTACATCAATTTGTCCTATTCATCTTCAATGGCGACACTATAGTATATGTAAATAACAAATGAATCACTTTTCAAGAATAAGAAGGAATATGTCCGTATTTTAAAAGTCCCTTGCTTCTTTTCAGTGTGCCAAAAAGTTCAATTTTTGCATAAAAATATAAAGTCTTGAAACTAACAGTTATGAATATTGTTTGCATGTTTGGGAAAACCTAAAAATTTGACGATTCAAGACAAATAACCTTCATACAATCGTTTTTATTAAAATTCAGTCACAAAGAATTAAACTAAAACCCCTTTAACGCATAAATTGTTCACCTGGTAAAACATATGAATTCTTAAATTAATAGCAATAGTGAATGTTATCTTTCACACACCAAGTAAGATTATGATTTAATTATAGGGGAAACAATATGCAAAGCGGTTGAAACATAGAAAGGCAGTTTTGATTTTATTTCTTAGGAGGCTTTGTCCCGTTAAAATATTAACAGTTTTATAAATCCGTTTGATATTTTAAGACTTTAGTCGATGAAGAACTTTTTGGCATATGGTGAAAACATATGACTGTTCTCTGTTGTGTTGGAGATTGTTTAAAAATTATCCTCTTTAAGTCTTTTGGTTATTTTTGTCGTTTCTTTGCTATCACTATTATTCCAAGCAGGTTAAAATACTGAACCTTATCGCTATAAACAACAATTATTTTTATACAGTTTTTAAAATGTAACTCGCTTATTTCCTTTTATCTATTTTTGTGGATTGACAATAATTTGCTAAGATAATATTTATAGTTACTTCTGAACTGATAAATATTTGTGAAAGATAATGAAATTTAACTGCAAGCGGATATTTAAATATGTGTTGGAAAGCCAGTATTTTGAGGTTACAATGAAGTAATTATTTACAATTATTTTGGGGTTTTGCGTTTTCCATTTAAAAAATCCGTTGAAAAAACTGTCAAACTCTTAATTTTCAACAACTTTGGATGTGAATAAAACTGCGTAACACATATGGTGCCGCAGCTTTTTTGATAGAAAAATGGCATTTCTTAAGGGTACTCTATGGGTCCGGAATTTTCGAAATAGTATGAATTAAGAAAACCCCTTGCTCAATTTTGCACAGAAAATTTTGCTCTTCACAAAGAGTTTCCTCCAAATTTCTCGCTATTTCTACACCAATAGCCAACATTCATTTTCTCACTATTTCAATTTTTTTCTTTCCTAATTAACAGGGCAGCAGAAAATAAATTTACTTCTACCTATTATATTGGATGTAAAAAATAGGAGGCCCCCTGCATAACTAGATGGCCCCGTCATCTTTATTTACTTCCTTTTAACCTTGACTTGTTTCCATATTATAGATCCAGTGTACATTTTGATGGAATATGTAAAGGGAGGCAATCTGCAATCATATTTACGAAAATGTCGACCAAGTCAACAGACTGCAACCAGTGAGGAGATTTCGCCACCTAGTGCAAAAGACTTGAAAATGATTTCATTAGGAGTAGCTAGAGGGATGAGTAATTTACATACATGTGGAGTGAGTAAATCATTGTGAAAAATAAAATCATTGACTTTTGAACTTATCTATGAAGAGTTAAGAGTACAGTCACATGAAAATATGCAGAAGTCAATAATTTTGTATCTGTATTTAATTGATTCTATTTTTTTTGTCACGAGCAAATTTTACCAAACTCAGTTTATTTTGAAGTTACAAATGCTAATCTTCAATTGCATTCCCTCTAAATTTTAAATGCTAACGAAGAATTTAGTTAAAAAAACGTACTTTTTTTAATTTTTACCCTTATCGTTTCAAAACACTAAAAATCTCTTACCAACCGTTTTATATATACATATAAAAATAATGGGATATAGTATGGTTGCCAATGAAACAATTATCCACCGAAGTTCAAATGGAGTAGATGTAAGCAATTATAGGCAACCGTACGGCCTTCAACAATGAGAAAAGCCCATACCATATAGTCGGCTATAAAAGGCCCCGACATGAAAAATATGAAGCAATTCAATTGAGAAAACTAACGGCATGATTTATAACAAAACACAACCACTTAAACTAATAATTGAAGCGTTTTAGAAATTCATTCGACAAGATCCTTAGTAATATTCATGTAATGATATGCATAGAATCAAATGAAAATATGGATAACCTTTTTATGATTTGCTCCGTTGCACGACGTTGGAATATGTTTTCCAAAGGTATGATATTCCGATAACAAAAATGTTTCATTGAAAAGCAATACTTGGAATCCCAATCTTTGATGAAAATCAAAGCCACGATACCCCAATATTTGCTAAGGTTTCAAACTATATTTTTTTAGACACATATAAAAACATATTCACCAAGCGTTCCTTTGAAATCAATATTTGACTATTCTACTTTACTGATAAAAAGATAAATTTCAGCATTATCCAAATGGCTCATCTAATGTAACCTGGATGAAACCGGGCTATAGGGAAACATGTAAAAAAACTTTCTCTAAAAACGACTGCAATTTCTTAACACAGTATGGTTTCAATATGACTTGTCTTGACCTTTTTGACTCTCCTGCAACGAAAGTTGCAGTATACGAAACATAGGGATTACTTTCATGCGGCAGAGGCGACTGCGGCGTTAACTATTTGTATAAAGCTTTTATCTCAGAAGGTAAAAGACCTGGATGCTTCATACAATGTTTTCTTTTTGGTCATGTGAAATATTCACTTTTTATGAGTAATAGAATAACTGTTTTTGGTATTGGGATCCTTGCAAATTCTACATGTCTGTCTGACAGGCTTTACCTGACTTCGACTTCATTTCATGGATCAAGTCCATATCTCAGATACTATTAGCAATAATCAACTATAATTGCTGTACGGAATGGCTGTGAAGTGTGCATGTCCGGTTGGCAGGTTTCATCCTTGGCTCTCAAATATTCGGCTTTGAGCGTTCCTGATGAAGGTTGATCCAGAAAAGCGCTTCGGACGCATGAATTTATAAAGTGTTGTTTTCATTTTTTTCATCCGACCTTAACCTCATTTTCATGGTACATTAGTCAATGTTTTTATAGTACGGTGTGTTACTCCGATATTATAAACCATGATGCCACTATGTGTTATTGATTGTATACTCTACATGTCTGTATGGCAGGTTTTACCTGACCTTGACCTCATTTTCATGGATGGATGGTCCATGTTAAGTTTTCATGGTTTTGTCTATTTATTGGATTCTATAAGCAATAGGTCAACTATATTTGATGTTTGGAATGATTCCATCGTGAACATGTTGTCTGGCAGGGTTTATCTGACCATGACCTCATTTTTAGGTTCATTAGTGTATGTTCTATTTTCGTAATTATGTATACTTCTTAGATATCATAAGCAATAGGCTAACTCTATTTTGTGTATGTTATAACTGTTAGTTGTACATATATGTCTGGCAGGGTTCATCTGACCATGACCTCACCTACATGGATCATTGATAATGTTGAGTTTTTGTGATACTTATAGAAAAACCTTCATATTACAGACTTTCAACACAAATTCAATCTTGTTAAGTAAAATTGGCGAGACATTTCAGAGTTTGCACTCTTGTTTGTTTTCAGTGACACTATTTGAAATCGTAAACCTGTATTTACGTTTAAAAATATTGAGAAAAAAAATATAAGCAGCTTGAATGTATGATGATAGGATCGTTTCTTGTACAATTTGAAATGTATTCATTCGTGGTGTAGTGGCCTGACCATTAAGTATAACCGACGAATGGGCTCACGCAAAAAAAGACTATCAGGTGCTGATACTTGAATCATGAACTTATCTAACAAATGGTAAAAAGCTGAAAATACAAATAAAAATACAATGTTACAATGTGTTGAATTAATGTTATAATGTACGAAATGTCAAATATAAATAATAGCACAGTCCACTGTACGCGAGATAAAGTTGCAGTTATAAAAAAGTTAAATTTCTAGTATATCACGGAAAAAAGTTCAAATATATGATAATGAGCAGTTTGAAGGCATACAATACAATGTTATTAATGTAACTCACTCTGTGGGTAACCACAAATTGTGTCCAAGATAACGTTTGCCCGAAAAAGTTCCTCGGTTCTGTTATGACCTTGCAGTTCAGTAAGAGAAAGGTAACAATAATTTCGATTATTAAATGTTTTACACAGGTCTAAGATGTATAATTCTCCTTGGTTAGGAACACATAAATTGATTGTGAAAATAATCGAAGGAACTATATAAACTGATTAATGAGTTATCAGAATACGTGGTCATAAACTTCAATTTTGTCTCGCCTGCGACGAAAGTCGCAGTATGCGAGACATAGGGATTACTATTCGGCGGCGTCGGCGTAAACTGTTTGTATAAAACTTTATATTTCGGAAGGTGGATCAGTGATCAAGGTTAAAGTTACTTGCTTAGGTCCGTTTCTCAGATACTATAAGCAGTAGGTCAATTATATGTGGTGTATGGAATGATGGTAAGGGGTACATGTCAGTCTGGCAGGTTTGGTCTGACCTTGACCTCATCTTTATGGCTCATTGGTCAATGTTTAGTTTTTGTGTTTTGGTCTGTTTTTCAAGTACTATAAGCAATTGGTCAACTTCATTTTGTGTATGGAATGATTGTAAGGGGTACATGTCAGTCTGGCAGGTTTGATCTGACCTTGACCTCATGTTGATGGTTCATTGGTCGAAGTTAAGTTTTTGTGCTTTGGTCTGTCTTTTAAGTACTATAAGCAATTGGTCAACTATATTTGGTGTATGGAATGATTGTTAGGTGTACATGTCGGTCTTGCCGGTATCATCTGACCATGACCTCATTTTCATGGTTCATTCGTCAATGTGAAGTTTTTGTGTTTCGGTCTGTTTTTCAAATATTGATAGCAATAGGTCAGCTATATTTGGTGTATGGAATAATTGTAAGGTGTACAAGTCTCTCTGGCAGGTATCATCTGACCTTGACCTCATTTTCATGGTTCATTGGTCAATGTTAAGTTTTTGTGTTTTGGTCTGTTTTTCAATTACCCTTAGCATTAGGTCAACTATATTTGGTATGTGGAATAATTGTAAGGTGTTCATGTCTATCTAACAGGATTTATCTGACATTAACCTCATTGTCATGGATCTTTAAAACCGTTAAGATTATGTGATAATTGTAGGAAAATCTTTATCTTTAAGGACTTTCAACATAAAATCAATGGTCAGTAAAGCAGGCGATACATTTCAGCGTGTGCACTCTTGTCTATTGTAGATATACCATCTTGTTCTAAAGCGTTCGGAATCACATTATCAGAGATAAAATCATACAACTATCAAATAAACAATAATAAACTTAACGAGATATATTTTGTAACAAAAGATTTGTACAAGTTAAAGGAAATTTTGATCCCTATGTTTTGCCTTAATAATAGTTTTATATTTATGTCGAATGACCATTCTAGAAGTATTTTCAATATTATCTAATTGATGTGAGTCTGTATCCTGAAAAAAAAATTATTTTAGAATATATCTTCTGTATTTATGGTACACATTTTAATACTATGCGTACTTCTGCTTTCCGTACATGTTCATCGGAACTTTTAAACGAGTTCGCTATAATTCCTACGACAGTCCACTGGTTACGGCAAAGGTTTTTGTTGTCTTTGAGAAGAATGACGTCTCCTTCGATGAGATCAAGACGATCTTCAGTCCATTTTCGTCGTTGTTGTAGTAACGGCAGGTACTCCTTCCTCCTACGGGACCAGAAAACAATGGCCAGATCTTGAACACGTCTTCATTCGGTAAGACAAAGATCCCATTTGTCGAATCCTCCAAGCTGATCTGAAGTGAAGATGTAATCGGTCTTCTGTGTCAATAACATAGCTGGAGTCAAGATTAATGGATTCTCTGGACTGTTGATACCGGTACCAGAGGTCTCGAGTTCATTATTGCTGAAACTTCTGCCATGAACGTATTGAGCACGTCATGTATAAGACTTCGGCTGGCGGCGTTGATAAGCATAGAATAAAGTATTGTCCTGGCGACACCAATCATTCTTTCCCAGGCTCAACCCATGTGGGACGAGTGCGGCGGATTGAAGATCCAAGTTGTACGAGAATTGTACAAAAAGTTACAAAAAGTTCTTGAAGGGTTCGTCCTCAACGTTGATTGAGTCGATTCTCAAGTTGTCGATTGCGCCAATAAAATTTGTTCCACGATCGGATTGGAAAATCTTAACTTGGCCTCTAATAGCTGTGAATCTTCTGACGGCGTTTATGAAGGCTGAAGAGCTCATTTCCTCGATGAGTTCAATATGAACAGTTCTCATCACTTAGCATGTGAATAGTATTGCTTAACGTGTTTAACGTGAAACAATTGTCCATGGTCCAAAGGTGTCTATTCCAACGTTAGATTTGATTTGACACTGGCTTTTTCCTCTGAGTTTGCGACATGTCACACATCTGTGAATAATTGACGAGATCAAACGTTTTGCTCCAAAGATCCAGAATAATGCGGATCTAATCGCTCCATCTGTGAAGTGGCGACCTTGGTGT